CTTGCTTCTTCATTAGCTTGAACATCATTGCTTGGCTCATCCTCATCTTGCACCAACACATAATCACTCATATGGCTTCTTTGGTTTGAGGTACTAGCAACTCCACCTCTCCCACTTCTTGTTGTCATGGCCATTGCATGCCCCGTATTGTTCCCACCTTTCGGGTTCACCACTGTATCACTAGGTAGTGCCCCCTTCTGGCGAGTATTTAAAGCTTGAGAAATTTGGCCAAGTTGAACCTCCAAGTTGCGGATAGAAGTGTTGTGGGAGGCTAATTGGGCATCAGAGTCGGCATTTTTCTCCATCATTTGCTTAAACATGTTTTCAATCCGTCACATTTCACTATTAAACGAACTAGGACCTTGCGACGGATATGGAGGTGGGTTGTTTGGTTGTTGATACATCGGGGGTCTTTGAAAGCCCGACCCCCGATTTCCTTGATTGATATTATTCTAACCCCCTTGATTATTGTTGCCTCCCCGATTGCTTTGATTGTTGCCACCCCAATTACCTTGATTATTTCCTCTCCAATTGCCCTGATTACCTTGATTACCCCGATTACCTTGGTTGTTGTTGTTGCCACCACTCCAATTTCCTTGGTGACCTTGGTTGTTCCAATTTCCTTGGTTTCCTTATGATCTACATTATTGTTGATTTCGAGCATTGCTTCTTTGACATAGATAATTGTTGACATATTGAACATCTTCGTCTTGTTCATCATACGAATCATCTTGATTATACCCACTATTACTTTGCTCGAATTGTTCCGGATGGTTTTGTACTTGTTGACCTCGTTGTCGTCTCTTGTTTACCATCATGTTCACCCCTTCCATAGCATTCACATATTTCGACCCTTGAACCTGTACCAGCCGAGCCTTGGCCAATTGGTTCATGGTGGTTATCAACTCTGCAATAGCTTGCCCATGATCATGTAACTTCTTGTGTAGGTGAATAAATTTTGGGTCACGCTGAGGAACATTGGCTCTACTTTGCCAAGCCGAAGATGTGTCTGCCATCTCATTCAAGATTTCACAAGCCTAAAAATAAGTTGTGTCCATGAAGTTACCCCCAGCGAGTTGATTTACCACACACTAATTCATTGTGTTGATCCCCCTGTATAAGGTCTGTTGTATCATGGCCTCTGTCATATCATTGTTCGGGCATTCTTTGACCATAGTATGATATCTTTCCCAAATCTCGTGCAATGGCTTATTGGGCTCTTCTTTGAAAGCTAGAATTTCATCCCTTAGTGTAGCCATGTGCCCTGGAGATAAGAAATTGACAATGAACTTCTCGGCCAACTCATCCCAAGTGTGGATGGAATGATTGGGCAATCTTTCTAACCAGACCAAAGCCTTTCCTCGTAGAGAAAATAGAAACAACCTTAACTGCAGTGCATCCTCGGTGACATTAGTTTGCTTGCTCCCCCAACAAGTATCGACGAAACCCTTGAGATGCTTGTAGTCATTTTGGTGTGAAGCTCCGGTGAAGAAACCTCGTTGCTCAAGCAGTGTAAGCATCACGTTGGTTATTTGAAAGTTGCCCGCCTTTATCCGGGGTGGGACTATTGCACTTGCATAGCCCTCGTTCGGTAACACCCGATGCGCTGCTCTTGGTGCATTTGGGGGAGGGTTTTGGACATTATCATAAGGCAGTCATCCTCGCCTGTTTACTTGAGGCTCAGGATGAACCTCATCCATTTGATCATCATCTACCTCCTCCCCAATGGTAAATTTCTGAGGGGCTCGTTGTTAAGGGCCATTTCGTACCTAAAAGCAATTCACAAACAAAATTAGTGACTCGGAAGGAAAGAAAGACAAAACACACAAATACCTAGATATATAGCTAAATCTGTTTAACTCCCCGCCAGGCCAAAAATTGATCTCGGCCAAACTCACACCACAATTTAGTAGCGAGGCGGTCGATGCAATAATAAACCCAACAAAGGTCGTGATCGAATCCACAAGGAGTTAGAATAAGGGATTAGGTATATATCTAAGTTAATTTCAAGTTTTGGCTTCAATTGCAATTTCACAAATTTGATTGATGTTCTACTTCTACTTTTACTCTAGTGTTTGCAAGTATAAAACTAAGGACAATATTTTTAGTTTTGAGTTTTTCAAATGATTAAAAAGGGACTAAGGTCGTGACTTCTACCTAGGTGGTTATCTAATGGGTTATACACTCCAGGGCATATTTGATTAGTTAGGGTCGTAATATAGCAATCACATCCGGGTATCCACTCTATACCTCTCGGTAGTTTGAGTGATTTTTCTCTAATTGGCTTTCTCAAGTCCAATTGGGTATATGCACAATACAAGTGATATTAGCTCAAGTCGGGTATTACTATCTCTAGGTTTAACCCTTTAATTGGGTCCATCAAGTTTTTGAGTTCGCACCAATTTCTTGTTAGCCAAGTTTTCCTAGACTTAGTCTCTCTTACTCAAATAGAGGCTAAGTCGAATAGGCATGAATCAATGTTTGTAACCATTGATTCTAGGGTTCAATCATGAACAAGGCTAAATATTACTAACCCAATTAAAAACAAACACTGAATTAAACACCCATCAAATACTCACATTCATAATAATGAATGCGGTCGCACCTGACTTCCTACGGCCACACAATTTCGGTGCGGTCCGCATGCCTTTAGCTGGCCCAAAAACTACTCTTTGAATCTCCCATCTGCGGCCGCACTGCTTGCCATTTTGCCCTGTTTTGGTTCTTGTTCACTTTTTAACTCCTTTATGAGTAGATTTTGACTTTTTGGCTCGTGCCCCAATGTTCCTGCAAGTAAAGCACATTTTGTTAGTTTCCGTGAATGTTGTTAAGCTTTTTTTAGCTAAATCGCAAGTAAAAGAGAGGAAATAATAGGTCAAAATTCCCACTTATCACCCTCCCAAATTTATAAAGTGTTATTTATTGTATTATTGTTGCTTCGTATTAGTATATACTTGTACATGTTATTTACGTATGTGTCCTGTCATAGCCTCATTACTATTTCGTCGAAGTTAGGCTCGACACTTACGGAGTACATGGGGTCGGTTGTACTCATACTACACTCTACACTTCTTGTGTAGATTTTGGAGTTGGTCCCAACGGCGTAACCATAAACTTGCTCGAATTCAACTATCTAGAGGAGACTTGAGGTATAACTGCACAGCGTCCACAGTTCTGAAGTCCCCTTCTATCTTATCTTAGTTGTGTATTATCTTTCAAACAACTTGAAGTTTATTCAGACCATTATGTATTATCCTAGTAGCTCGTGCACTTGTGACACCAGATTCGGGGATGTATTTTGATGATTTGGTTGTTGTGGTCTTCCGCACTTTATTTCAGTAATTGACTTCCGCTTAAATTGATTTGTTTAAAAATGGTTAAGATTTTTCTAACGTTGGCTTGCCTAGCAAGTGAAATGTTAAGCACCATCACGATCCCGAATGTGAAAATTTTGGGTCATGACAAATACCCACTCGAAATAAATTTCATATTCGTAAACCTAAATTTTTGAATTCGAGCTTAAACAAGCTTCAATAGATGTCCGTGACGTTTTCACTTTAATTCTTTGACCCAATTCAACAAATTAACGTTTAATAATGATTTTCAAATCGAATTAAGGTACTTGATTCTCTGAAACTCACTTTAGCTCACTGTAAGCTCTGAAAACTGACATTAATTAAAAATTGACATTTGAGCTTTTTCCGGTAAATACTTCATTTTTGGGTTAATTTTGGTTGAAAACGTTTAATTTTGGACTAGTTTTGATTAGAATTGTTTATGGACTGACAGTTGGAGAAGTTTCACTTCTACTTTGTATCATCAAATTCTCATATAATTTAAAATAATATAATATTAACCACCAAACAATAATAAGGGGATATATTGGAGCTTGGTTAATTTATTCAGTTCCAACTATCTTTCCCCTCTAAATAGTGACAACTTTTCAAATTTTGTAAACTCCTTGATGTTTAGTCACTCACGTATTGAGCTAACTCTCTTCTGTACTCGTTTGCTATTAGCATCTTCGTTTAGTGTTCTTTAATGAATATCATTTTGCTTCATAAAAAAAGGGTATACTTTCATTCTTAAGCAAAAATGTGTTCGCTGAAACACTGGGGTTTGAAGTACCTCTACACCAGTGTGTGATTCGTTCTATCCTGGGAGGAAATAATCCATTACCTTGGGTACTAGGAGGGGATTAAATTCCTTAAGGAAACACTGGGAATTCAGTGGGCTCGAATTAATTATTGTTTCATTACGTNGCAACTGTAAGTGTGATTTGCTACCGAACTTTGTGTTCGCCGAAACACTGGGGTTTGAAGTACCGCTACACCAGTGTGTTATTCGTTCTATCCTGGGAGGAAATAATCCATTACCTTGGGTACTAGGAGGGGATTAAATTCCTTAAGGAAACACTGGGAATTCAGTGGGCTCGAATTAATTATTGTTTCATTACGTTAACTTATATTTTGCAGAATTATTATTTACAAATACAGCAATATTGGCAGGACGAACATATACAACCTCTTCCGTCTTCGCGCTTCCCTATAAACCATTTTAACCTTCATCACGAGCTAAACCTGAGTGAGGGCTACTTGAAAGACCGTTCATTTTTTTTTTTCTGTGTTGAACAAGAGTCGCAGAAAAATATGTTACAGAATTGAAACCGAGCCTGGCTTTCCAAATAGTACAGAAATGTCAGGTCAAGTCCTGCTAAGAACAGCCACAACTTAGACATTCATTCTTTCAGTAACCACAGACAACGGTTCAGAACATGAAAAAAACGTATCTATTTAGGTCATTTCAACCATGACACACAAATTTCTATCCTTAATTTGGAAACAAGGCATATTCAAAGAAAACTAATCACCGGTGTTGTCAAAGGCGAAAAGCTCTAAAAATCGCTCTAGATCAATTGGGGCTTTAAGCACAAAGCGCAATTTAAGTAGGGGCTTTAGTTAAAAAAGGCGCAATGCAAGAAAAATATAAAAATATATATGTAATTCAAGAGAAAAGTAATAAATTCATTCATATTGTTTTCCTTAACAACTAATACACTTATTTGCCGATTATATTTGTAGTCTAGCATTGCTCCATTCAAGATAAAATTCATGGGTAATAAGGGGCACATCTTGGTGCCTTGCCTACACTGAATCGCAACTTAAGTGGGGCGAAGCGCCCTCCCCAAGCTTTTTTTGAGTTTTAGGACTTAAGCGCGCCTTAAATGAGCCTTTGACAACACTGCTAATCACCTTACTACAAATAGAGCAGTTGTCCAGCTTTCATGTAATGGATGCTATCCCACCAACGTGTGATCAAACATGACTCGGGTATCAAACGGCAATACACATCATTGGCATGCACACATCCGCAACACAGAATTTAGAATATCATGTTTTCCTCTTATAGGTAGCCATACAACTCTCCGACAGAACATCTTAGGAAACAAATAACTATGATGCCAGCACAAAAACCATAAAAAAAGGGCTGAAATTCTATTAATCATCATCAGTGAACCCATCATGTAATAGGTCCCATTCACAATGCTATGAAACTTCCAACACCAAAAGCACAGAAAGCTAGAAAGCAGGGACCACGTACAACTTCAAAGTCAGCACAATACTAGCCCGCCCACAAAATCATCACACATGTAAGTGAAGAGAGAAGGAACTCCCTTTTCATTGGGGCGGACAGGATCTAACCATGGTTGCAGCTCATAACTGGAAAATGAACTCCCCCTCCATCTAATTATATAACCATCCCAATGTAGCATATTCTTTAAGTCCAACAAAAGAGCTTGCACGACTAACAAAAGGTAGAGCAAATTAAAGTAAATGAGTGTCAAGCTCATGTGGGAGCTTACCAAGCTGCAGGGTTGAATAATTACTTGATCTCCCGGTCACACAACCAGAAAGGGGACCATAATAAATCTCATCAGCTTGAAAAGATGATAAATACCCTGACAAAATAACCACAATGTACTATTCAAATCGCGCACATCATATTGAGAACGCCTTCAAATACCTGCAGTCATAAGGAAGCTTTGAGCTTGAAGGACTCACTGGGTGAAATTCCGGCACATTCCCCAAGATAAGCACCAAAGGAATAGCAAATTTCAGTAAAGCTGAAAGTAGCACACAAATGGACAACAAACCAAAAAAAAAAACAGAATTGAACCTTCCGTGTAAACCTCAACAACAGCCGCACCAAGAAGAAAGCCAAGAAAAATCAGATAGCATGGAACCAAGGTTAAACAGGACATTAGTAGTCATTAGTTATTGAGAAGATAGTTGAAGATAAAACAAATAAGATATGTGAAGATAAGTCTATCTATCAAGTAGTTGTCAAAACAGAGATCTAGTGGGCATTTGGACATAAGAATTGTAAAATTCCAAAAAAAAGTGAATAAATTTCAAGTGAAAATGGTATTTGAAAATTAGAGTTGTGTTTGGATTTGAAAATTATAGTTGTGTTTGGACATGAATATAATTTTGGGTTCTTTTTTAAGTTTTGTGAGTGATCTGAGTAAAAATTTTGAAAAACAGTTTTTTGAAATTTTTCAAATTTTCGAAAAATTCCAAAATGCATTTTTAAGTGAAAATTGAAAAATTTATGACCAAATGCTAATTTCGAAAAAAAAGTGAAAATTTTTCAGTAAAAAATTTCTTAGTCTATCTCTCACTTTGCAACCTTGAAATGTCACGAGAATTTAGAAAAAATTCGGCAACGTCCACATGAGAATCCAGACCTGATTGACCTTCCAACCTGATATTTTCAAGAGTACCCTCTCCTCATCCAGATAAACAAAAGGGAAAAATTAAAAGCACAGTGGAATCTTTCACCAAGATTTTCCAACCACTTGAACGCTGAACTTAAATCCCCGGTAGCAAATGATCCAAAAATTGCGAACCACTGATAACGACCAATACAGGATATTTCAAGTCAAGTTATCTTCCCTGTAGCCAAGAGTTCAACAACAGACATCACAGAAAGAGAATAAGGAAAATCTTGAAAACAGAACGAGATAAGCTTCAGATCCAATCGCATAATCCACCTTTTGAGTCCAAGTCTCAAAAGACATTTAAAACCCATGGAATACAATGCCTCGTTAAGAATGACAAAGGCGGGCCTTAAGTAATTTCTTTTTTTGAGAAAAGGGTAAGCATTATAAAAGCAGCATGAATTGTGCTTGAATATTTACAAAGAAATATACAGCTTCACATCAAAGCAACATGGAATCAACTGTGTCTAACAGAGCTTATGTATCATTTATTCCTCTTAACATCAAAAAGAAGACGAAAGTATACAGTTATTTTTTTATCTTCTGCATAGAGCTAGCTGTATTCTTCAAAGCATTTAGCATTTCTCTCCTTCCAAATAGTCCACCAGATAGCAGCTGGGATAGTTTTCCACCACCAGTAGGGCCTTAAATTATTCCAAACCAAGGCAGAATCAAAAACCACAATAAAATCTGCCCCAGATAACTCCAAAGAGGATTCGTACTGCGCAGCACACATGAACTAGGCTGTAATTTCAAAGCTGAGATACTACCCTAAATTGTTAATATTTGGCTAATATCTTGTGCGGCTCACGATGTAGAAAATACATATTCTACTAGAAAGGCAAGGAATGTACTCACAAATAAGATCTACGCCCTGCTCCTTAGATAATGGAGACCCGTCCATATAATTGTGAAAAAAGCAACTATGATCGCAGCTAGCAAGAGATCAAGAGAACCCAAAACAGTCAAAATGAAGAAGCAAAACACCACTTCAACAGAAAACTGAGCCCAACCCATCAGAAGCAAACACGCAACTGCTACTTATCAGAACTCAAGACAAGACAGGAACAGATTGCAGCCACCCCAATTATAGGTCTACTACTCGCTATTCTGCTGCTCAACACAACCAACAGAACTTGAGGCAGAAAAACTTCAAAATCTGCTGCCGGAGTATCCCCAACAACTAATTGAATCTGTTGCACCGCTTGATCATATCAAAGATAATGTGTAGTCTCTGATAGCTAGAGCTTTAACAGAAACCACTTCTCCTTCTGTGCCCATCTAATCCAGTGCTGTCCACAAGAAAATATTACAGCCCAGAGGACACGGGCCTATTTCTGGTTAATCAACACATACAATGAACTCTTGGGCTGGTTATAACAGCAAATAAATAGGTTTCTGGAAATGCTAGGATGTAGCTATAGCATGTACAGTAAGCATGATGCAAACTGAGAGAAACAACAGTATTGGCAAAAATACGTTTCACATCCATAAAGCCAATAAATACCTTGAAAGAATTGGAGTAGGTCTTACATTGAATAGAAGCATGAATGCTTGAACCAGAATAATCGTGCAACACAGCAAGAGAGCACCCAGCAGATCTACAACTGCTAAAAAGTAGAACGGAAGTACCTCCCAAAGGTTCTAACTTTTCTCGTAGGTTCGGGAATAAATAGAAACTTTGTAAATGTGTAGAAGACTCTCGATTGATTGCTGTAGTGTTCATGATGTTGTATATAATCCAATGTTCAGTAGGAAAGAGTGCTCTATGGCAACCCTTGCCTCTTCTCGCACTCTTCATGTGCCTCCTGCAAAAGCAAAACCATCGCCAATACTGTACCAAATTGACCAGAGTGAACAGGAAAGACATCTATACCCTCCTCTTAAACACAAAGACCAACAAAGTAGCTAAAGACATTCGAGAACATGTAAAAATTAGACACGTAAAACTAATGGAGTAGTACAGCCACCATAGCATTGCCAAATCTCTGAGTAGATGAAGAAAGTAATAGATAGAGACCAAATTCGCATAGTTGTCCACAAATGAGGAAGCAGCAGAATAGCACAAAAACATCTGCTGCTTCAACATGCTAAAATTTGCCTGGACTTTGTATTGAGCAGGTAAACTGTAGGACTTGCATACCACCAACAACGCTTATCCACGTACACGAGACCCATGCATGAGTCAACGCCAAACATTAAGATATTCAAATCACAGCAGCAGTCCAACCTCTCCCACCAATGGGGCCACAAAAATCACAACCTCTCCCAACCAATTACATTGATGACAGATACATACAATTAATCAGGCATGTAATCTTTCTCAAAGAGAATAACTCAGAAGTTCCGCCACACCAGCACCCGAAACAGAACAACTACCCACATTTAAAACTATCAAATTCTTCACACAGTCACCCATAGCTGAACACAATCCGGGACTTGCTTCACATTTTCTGACAGCCCATTTACGCGCATGTATCCAAAAAACCACAGAAAAAGTCACATTGAACAGATGCAAGTATATCTTAACAAAGATGATGTGCAAACCTTGGTGCTCCACTGCTGTCATTTTTCCATCTCAACCCTCATGCTCAAAACCACGAGAAAGCAAATCCACCTTGGCCATTGCACCTAACGTAATATACAAATATAAAATAATAAATGATTCAGAGGATAGAAGTATACTTCCTTCTTAAATCCTAATGCTACCAGAGTAGTCAAGGAGACGAGGAGATAATATTACATGAACAGAAACGTATTCTTCACCTCAAAAGCAGCTTCAGAGGCAAGATCTGCGATAAATATTCCTGACAACTCAGAGGACAACCATAAGATGAGTTAAGTGGAAGCGAGTGTTCAACACCAAAAACCTCAACTATTAGCGTTAGATATTATATACATTCTTTCTTATTGCTAATTAGATATTATATTCCTTACACCTCATCACCCCGAAGAGCAGTGGCTCTGTTGTTCAGCACGCCTACGGAGAGAGACTCCAAAAGTACTGACGCTCAATAGAAAGAAAGAGCAATCAACTATATGCTTAACTCATGCCCCTCATTTGAAGGAAAAGAGATGGGGAAGACTCAAGCGATGCACCTCAAGAGATGATACGCACTCCATGAGTAGTTGCTTATTAGGGTGCTCCCCTTGTTGGAGCCTCATTGGAGCCAACAGTATCAGCAGAGGCTCCAATAGTTTTTAACTGGACATATGGCATCAACTTCATACCCAGACAATTACCGTCAGCCTCATGGTGCTCGAATTACTTCCAGATTCAGAAAAAATGATTTGGTGATGTCACTCGGATCAAGGTTGTCTGAAATGTATGCAGCGTCGAACCTTATCCCAAAGTGTTGATTATTAAACTGCCTTATACTTATTACTAGAAGACCAGTAAGTAAGCTTGTTATGCGTCTCTTATTGCAGTTTTTATCAGTAAAGTCTACCTTGTCACAGTTGAACACAAACTCACTGTGAGTTACACGTACTGCCGAGGTCGTGAGATATCCTAACTGAAAAATTAGATCTAGGATTCAAATACTTGAAGTGAAGATAAAAGCTGGGACCTGATGTTGTCGAATCAATCTTAAGCTAGACGCCAAGTAAAAGCTAGATAATTACCAAACAGCCCGCCAGAGCCGATATTAAACAAGTGAATAGAGGTGCATAGTGCTCTCCTCTCATCATTGTCAATATCGTCTTCTGCTCTCCTGATTGAAAACAAAAACAAAAAAAAAAAAAAGGGCAAACACACGTATACCAGGAAAGAGAGCACTTCTTTCTGACAATAACAGAAGTGACAACTGACAAGATATGTATCTCCTTTGTTTTTCCAGGTGAATACCTGACCATCAATTATCAAGCAGGAGTGGCATCAGAGGAAATGTAGATCAGCTCCATCAATGGTGAAAGGGGAGCAAGATAAATTCACAAACTACCACCAAAAGAGCACAGCTTAGACATTCAAATATGCATCCTCTTGCTTATTCACAACACCAAAACGCAACAGTCACAATCAACAGAACCACACGAAAATTCAACTCCAGTTTCCCAATCGACACTGCACATCATGAAAAACAACAGACGGCTAAACGGAAAGTAACGACACCCGACACAACATAACGACCATCAATAACAGGTTAGAAGCCACCACGGAGGACAAGGTATATAGTTGTTGACTTCTGCTTGATGTTGTTTTCCCCTTCAATTGTAGACAATGTTTTCTGCAAGAAACACAATTGTAAACGAGAACTAGCTAGAGGAAGACATATGAAATAGCAAAGTAAGAGAGAAAGAAAGACTTGAAACGAAAAGATATGAGAGAAAATGATATTGGAGTTGGTTCCTTCACGCAGCCATGTATATCTCATCACTCCTGTATATGGTTCTTGAAACTTAAGTTTAGAAGGATCAGAGAAAAAGAACAATCCAAGGTTCTACCTTGAAAAATACCACTGCATAAACAATTTATCCATTTGTCTCTCAACTATTAGAGTCAGAGATTTAGCTCACTTTCCTCCCAATAAAAACAGACATTCATAAAATATGTGAACCTCCAATTGAAAGAAAAGAGACAGGAAAGTCAAGTGGTGCACCTCAATAGATGATAAGCTCCATAAAGAGTTCCCAAGTAGTGTGCTTCACTAGATGGAGC